CCCCTGCCCCTGCCCCTGCCCCTGCCCCTGCCTTCCAAGTGCTGGGATTAAAGGGGTGCACCACCACCACCTGGCTTGTTTTGGTTTTTGAGACAAGATTTTACTTTTTAGCCCAGGCTAGCCTCAAAACTCCAGTCTCCTGAGTACTGTGATTACAGTTGTGCACTTTCATTCCTGGCTAGTAGGTAAGATTTTTACTGGTTGACTTCATTTATCCTCCAACTCTATCTCCTGTTGTTTTCCACTCTTTTGTTTTTGACTCACTAAAGGTTAAAGGAAATATGAGCATTTGATTATTCTACACATAGTGCTTCAGACACCAAGCAGATCCACTCTAAAGCTGAACGTGAGTCTCTCTTCTGATCTACAGGTCCCCATTGTCACTGATATTGAGGGAATGAACATTTTAGGACTGGTCCTTTTTGCCCTGGTGTTGGGAGTGGCTCTAAAGAAGCTAGGCCCCGAGGGAGAAGAGCTCATCCGGTTCTTCAGTTCCTTCAATGAGGCAACAATGGTGCTGGTGTCATGGATTATGTGGTGAGTGTCACTCTGCCATCTCTCTCCCTCTGTCCCATCAAATCTAGGAAATATTTCAATAATCTAGGTTATCCTGTGTGACCCCTGGCCTCATGCACAGTGTGCAGTCAATGAAATATAGGTCACTCATGGTACAAGACATGATGGGTGGACCGATGAGATGCTTCAGTGGCTAAGAAAATCTGAGTTTGATCTTTGGAACCCACAATGGGAGGAGAAAACAGAAACCTAAAAGTTGTCTCCCAACCTCATCTGTACCAAAACTCTCTCTCTCTCTCTCTCTCTCTCTCTCTCTCTCTCTCTCTCTCTCTCTCTCTCTCTGTGTGTGTGTGTGTGTTGGTGTGTGTGTATCTACTCTCTCTCTCTCTCTCTCCCTCCCTCTCTCTCTCCCCCTCTCTCTCCCTCTCTCTCTCTCTCCCTCTCTTCCCCCCTCTCTCTCTCCCTCCCTCCCTCCCTCTCCCTCTCTCTCTCTCTCTCTCTCTCTCTCACACACACACACACACACACACACACAATGATGATGATGATTTAAATATTTTAGTGATGCTAGGGCAGTCATCTCTCCACTTGTCTGGATCTCCTAGAGAAGTGGTGTCCACATAGTTTCTGTGTGATGTCCACACTGACTCCTTGACTTCTATTACCTCCATCCACGTATGGATTCCCATGTTGACCCATATGTTTGCCATGTCCATTTTGTAGTGTGCTACATGAAAGAAGGTTCTTTCATCTTCAAATGATAACTTTAAGATTCGAGGATGCTTGTTAGTGTGACCTTTTACAACAAAGAGGACAAACTCATCTCACCCTGCTTAGGTAAAACTCGCATTGGTCATTTATGAAAGCTTCTAACTCTAAGTGCTTCTCTGTGTCGTATTAACGGAAGGATGATTGCTCAATAAAAATCATCAGCTTGATTCCTGGCTCAAAGATAATAATCTGAGCATCTACTTCAAAGCAACTTCCCTGAAATGAGGCCAGTCCCAGACCTCATGTCTTCAAAGTTCTTCCAGTATTTCACCTGCCCCAAACACCACTACCATAAATAAATGACATGGGGAGGAAAGGGTTTGTTTTAGCTTACAGTTTCACATCCCAGCCCATCATGGAAGGAAGGCCAGGCAGGAACTCAAGCAGTGCAGGAACCTGGGGGCAGGAACTAATGCAGAGGTCACGGATGGGTGCTGCTAACTTCCTTGTCCTCATGGCTTGCTCAGGCTGCTTTCTTATAGAATCCAGGGCCTGGGGTGGCCAGCCCTAGAGGTCAAAAGTACCTATTTTCATTCTCAAACCCAGCCTCCTTTGAAAATGATATTCTGATATACACTACAACATGGAGGAACCTTAAAGGCATTAGTCTAATGAAACAGGTCACAGGACAAAATGTGTGTTCTGCTTTTGTGTGCCATAGGCTGGTTGGGGTGGAGGGCATGGGAGCCACAGTTCAATGAGAACAGAGCTTCACTCTTGAATGATGGAAACACTCTTGGTCTGGGTGGTGGTGATGGCTGCCCCAGAATTCCAATGTATCAACTCTACGCATAAGGGTGGCTTAAATGCTAAATTGTATGTGTATTTCATCACAAGAAAAGGTAGCTTTCTAAATACTGATATGAAAATACCTTGATAACGTGATGTGGAGTGTATATAAGTAAATTCAGATTTAAATGCATTCCTGCCCATCTAGGTACACAGGGAGGTGGAATGCTTGTCTGAGGAGGCAGCTGGCTTGAGGATGGATCTGGTTCCTCATGAGGGGAAGCATTCTTCTCGAAAATGAGACTTAAAATCCCCAACACTGCTTAGATGTCTCTAAAAAGAAAACTCAAGAAGCCCCCCTCCCCTGGGTGCTCAGGGGCTAAAGTGAGAGATTTCACACTGCTCACCACTCTGTGCCCCTTGAAACCTGAACTGGGAGGCATTATTAAGTATAAATCAAAATTAATAGATTAAAACAATTGTAGGATTATTACTGACTTGATATTAAATTTACAGAACTTACTTTTGTTCTTTGTAGTTTCTAGAATTTATTCCTTTTCTCACAAAAGAAAAAAGAAAAAAAAAAAAAAGAAACAACAAACTCGCTGTCTGGCAGTGTTCCCAGAACATCATTGTTAATGACTTTTTCCCACGGAATCATGTCTTCAAAACCAAAAAGAATGTAAAACTTCACAGAAGCCCTGGGCTATGTTCCATTCTGTATCACAGCAGTTCTGTGGAATTCTTGTCTTTCTGAGTTCCCAGGACAGGTCTGAGCGAAGCTGAAAGTCAAGTTTGTAGTCTCAAGGCCTTTAATTTGCCATGTAGTTGGTAGCAATCCATCGGTTAGGAACATGTGTAGAGCAGCTATAATGGCACATGCCTATAAACTCAGCACTCAGGAAGTAGAGGCAGGAAGATATCAAGCTCCAGGCTAACCTGGACAATGTAGTGAGATCTTGTCTAAAAGGAAGGAAAGGGGAAGAAGAAGAGAAGAGTAGAAGAGGAAAACTGAAAGAAAGTATGTATATACCAAAAGAAAGCAGTCTACGTGTGTGAATGCACTCACCTGTTGAGTGATCATCTTCATTTCACTCAGTCATACAACCTACTTATTTAAAAAAAAAAAAAAGCCCTATCATTTTCTATTTTTAGAGTAACTCTATGCAGAGATGAAAAACCAGTTGAAAGTTCCTGTTTTGGGAGGCCCAGCATCTCCCAGCCCCTCCTCAACACCTCCCTGATGATTGTCTATGCTTATAACCTAGGTACGTACCTATAGGCATCACCTTCCTGATTGGAAGCAAGATTGTGGAAATGAAGGATATCGTCATGCTTGTGACCAGCCTTGGGAAATACATCTTCGCATCTATCCTGGGCCATGTCATTCATGGAGGAATCGTTCTGCCTCTTGTCTATTTTGCTTTTACACGAAAAAACCCGTTCAGATTCCTCCTGGGTCTCCTCACACCATTTGCCACAGCTTTTGCTACCTGTTCCAGGTTAGTGGGCTTGGGAACGACCTTGGCTACTCAGAATCATATGGGCACAGAGCTTGGTAGCTATCCCGGGACCTTTTGTACTGAGGCAAGATGTGGCTCTTGGCTGAATCCACATGAATAATGGAATAAGTGGATCCTGGAAGTCATGTCTGGATCCTGTGGGGCTTGGTAAAGCCTTGTGTTACACTGGAAACTTTGGAAGAAGTCTGCTGTCCTCCTTCTTGCAAGGGAAGAGGGCCAGAATCTTGCTAGGATGCTGCTGCTGATGTGGCCCTGCCTTGGAAGGACTGTTTTCATGCCTGATTGTTTTGTTCATCTCTAGCTCGGCAACCCTTCCATCTATGATGAAATGCATTGAAGAGAACAATGGTGTAGACAAGAGGATCAGCAGGTTCATTCTCCCCATTGGGGCCACCGTGAACATGGATGGCGCAGCCATCTTCCAGTGTGTGGCCGCAGTGTTCATCGCCCAGCTCAACAATGTGGACCTGAATGCAGGGCAGATTTTCACCATCCTGTGAGCGTTGTTCTTTCCTACATCTCCAGGCCTCGCTTAAACTTTGATTTAAAAAAAAAAAAAAAAAAACTATTTTGTGATTTCCTTTGAAAAACCAATCTCACCATCATTTAGTATCTCATTTCTAAGACAGTGAAAATTCACCACCATCATCCCTCAGTATCTTGGGGCTGTATTAGTTTTCTTGCTGCTGGGACAGAATACCTGACAGAAAGCAACCTAAGGGAGGAAAGCTGTATTTTGGCTTGCGGTTTGAGGGAATACAGTCCATTGTTGTGGCAAGGCTATTTGCTCACATCTAGGTGGATCAGGACACACAGAGAGATGTGTGCTGCCATTCAGCTGGCATTTTCATTTTTCCTTTTTTTATGCAGTCCAGGACTCTCACCTATGGATGGTGCTCCCCAACTTTAGGATGAGTCTTCCCAGTTAACCCTTTCTAGAAATGTCCCCCACAAACACCCCCAGAAGTGTGCCTTGCTAAGGCTCTAGGCGTTTCCCAACTCAAGCAAACTGATCATGCAAACCATCTGTCACAGGAGCGTTGGTCACAGGACCTCCTTTCCCCACAGATAATAGGTAGCTGTAGTAGTTGGTTTTTGCATTGCTATGACAAAATATTTGTCAGAAATAACTTAAAAGACTTAAAACTTAAAAGGCTCATGGCTTAGAGAGATTTTAGTCCATTGTGGTAGAGATGGACCTGTTTACATGGTGACAGACAGGAAGGAAATAGGTCAGGACAGGGGGCAGGTATAACCTTCAAGGCCAATTCCTAGTTAACTTCTTTGGCCAGCCAAGCCCCACCTCCCAAAGACTCCCCAGCCTTCAAAGTATAGCCACCAGCTGGGAAACAAGTGTTAAGACATGAGCATGTAGTGGGCATCTCATGTTCAGACCATATCAGTAGTGTCTTGTCTATAATTTGTACATATTTTCCTCTATACTTCACATCATTTCTAGATGACTTACATACTCAGTATGATGTAAGTGCTTTGTGAGTGGTTGTTAATAGTGCATCATTAAGAAAATAAGAAGAAAATGATCTATAGATGTTGAGCAGCAGCAGTTTGTTTTCACTATTTTTGATCTGTGGTTGTTTTAATTTGTGAACACAGGATGTGAGGTCTGAGTGTACTTGAAAAATGTATCATCTCTCTCTTTTTTTTGGTTTCTCTATAAAATGTATCATCTCTTAAATGCCTAGAGCAGTGGTTATCAACCTGTGGGGCGCAAATGGCCCTTTCATAGGAGTCACTTACCCAATATTCTGCATGTCAGATACTTATATTATGATTCATGACACTGACAAAATTACAGTTATGAAGTAGTAATGAAAATAATTTTAAGGTTGGGGACCACCACAACATGAGGAACTGTATTAAGGGTCACAGTGTTAGGAAGGTTGAGAACCACCAACCTAGAGTGTATTTATAAGTCCTGGCTGCAATGCTGTGTGATTCTCTGGGCCCCCTCCATGCTATGTGCTCATGGCTGACTTTGCTTTGCTGTACCCTAGAGTGACTGCCACTGCATCCAGTGTTGGAGCAGCAGGCGTACCAGCTGGGGGAGTCCTCACCATTGCCATTATCCTAGAGGCCATTGGATTGTCCACAGATTACCTCTCTCTGATCCTGGCTGTGGACTGGATTGTGTAAGTATCTGATACCAAGAATCTGGGAATAAAGAAAGTCTATCCAGACCCCTGGGAACTTGATACTTCACTAGGCCTATAGCTCGCAGAAGCTTAAAACCATCTCTGCTTTGGACAGAGTCTATAGTTAAGCTGGCAAAACCAGATTTAGAACTATAAGAAGTCAACAGTTGCTAGGAGGTGGTGGCACATGTCTTTAATCCCAGCACTTGGGAGGCATAGGCAGGCGGATCTCTGTGAGTTCAAGGCCAGCCTGGACTACAGAGCGAGTTCCAGGACAGTCTCCAAAGCTACATAGAGAAGCCTTGTCTCAAAAACAACAAAAGAAGAAGAAGTCAACAGTATAATAGTTAAGAGCCCGTGAACATCCATGAATGGCATTAGACATGACCATTCAGAACTTGCTTGCAGTATTCAGTAGGTGCAATGGGCTATGCAGGTGATAGCAGAGCGGAGTAATAGTGATCAGAGCAGTGGTTGGCCCTGGCCTGCAAATATTCAAGGAATGGTTTCTATGCAAGGAGAGCATGCAAAACACCTTGTGATTGTACTCAGGAGATGTTAGGTAAGCAGATGACCACGCTGCTGACCCAGGGGTTCCTTACAGACAAGAGTGTCTGGATATTGATGGCTTGAGCCTTGTGATAACTTTGGCAGGTATAAATCTACTGTTCTATAGAAAAGTTGACTAAGGTAGTGATACTGAAAGAGCAGAGGTCAACCGAGGCCTTGAACCCAGGCCCTTCTGCATTACCTGCTCTTTTAATTAAAGTAGAAGCCATGCCAGTTGTGGTGAGGACTGTACAGTGCACACAGCATGGAGCAGGTGGGACAGCATTTAGTAAACGCTAGTGAGGAGGACAGTCCTGCTGGTCTGGTCACAGCCACACTGAGAGAAGATAACTTCAGGTACCTGGCACTCAGTCTGCAATGGTACTTGGAAATGGTAATCTTTCCAACTTAAAATAACTGTGCTGAGTTCTGAGGGCTCTTCATGGAAATAGGGTGAAATGTCCAATAGAGACTCCTATGTTCCACACTCCTCATCAGAGGAAGCTTCATCCCTGAGCTGGGCAAGAACAGAGCGATGGTAGAGATCACCTGTCTTGTCCTTCCAGCTGCCTCCTGTATCTGGAGATTGTATGTAAGAGCTGCTCACCTGGGGAGGGAAATAGCACCCTGCTGGATGCCCAGCAGAGTTCTGTGGGTGCACAAACCATGTGCAGTGGGACCAGTTCTCCAGTGCCTTGGGGAGGATCCCCATTGTCCTGTCTTCAGAATAGCCTGTTACGGGACCTTCTCAGAGCTCTAATGACTGGAGTAGATGTCAAGTTAACATGTGCTAAGTAGGCTGTGGGAAATCCGGTGTTGTTTTCTATGACATGCTTGCCCATAACTGTGAAATGCAGATACTGTTGGCATCAAGGACTGAAGTGGGATTGAAGTTGTAGTGTACTGTAACACTGAGGGGAAGAAAAATTAACACAGAACCATGTATGCTCTCTTCTCCCAAATGCATGCAGTGCTCTCTGTAGCTGGGCCCATGACGTGTAACAGAACTGTGTGGGAAGATGGCTGGAAGGAATTAGATTGCATTGCTCATATCAACTCCCAGAGCTGTGAATTATACACAAGTGATTTGTCTGCTGCCTTCAACTTCTCTCGATATTTCCCACAGCGAGAGTCTGTTACTTTTCCTAGAGTAAATACTGCTCACAAGAAAAGCAATTTAGAGCAGATCTGTTAGTGGTGTGCCCTCCAGGTGCACAGCCACATCCAGCAGGGCTCCAGAGATTGCCCTGATGAGGGCACTGAGGAAATGAAGAAAGGACAGACAGGCACAGCAAGGCAGGGATGGAGAAGCCACAGCACCCAGTTAGATTCAGTTGATCAGGAAGGCAAGGTTATTGCAAACTGCTGAATCAGGAATGCAGAGTTCATGGTACACAGCTGAATAGGAAGCAAGTTTAACTAATCTCAGTAGGAACAGTCTCTAAGAGAACCGACTCCAGGCCGTAAGTGTGGGTGTGGGTGTGGGTGTGGGTGTGGGTGTGTTGCACTACAGTGTATGTTTTGTGTGTGTGTGTGTGTGTGGTGTGCTACAGTGTATATTTTCTGTATATACTGTCAACAACCTCACATGGACCAGGGGAAGGCCTTGCCATCCTTTCTGAGGCCTCACGTGCAGAAGGCTTTTCCACTCCCATGGTCTGAGGCATTGGAGTCTTTGACATGGCTGTGCCCATGTCAGACGATACACATTCACTCAGGACTTCATTCACTCCCTACAACGTCCCTGTGGCCACCAGCCTGTTTGTGATAGGGTCCCCCACCTGATGACTCTGGGTATAACACGCGTCCTTTTTCTTTCCTGTTCCCATCAGGGACCGGACTACCACTGTGGTGAATGTGGAAGGGGATGCCCTGGGAGCCGGAATCCTCAACCATCTGAATCAGAAGGCAATGAAGAAAGGCGAGCAGGAGCTGCAGGAAGTGAAGGTGGAAGCCATTCCCAATTGCAAATCTGAGGAGGAGACATCACCTCTGGTGACACACCAGAATCCATCAGGCTCTCTGGTCACTGCTCCAGAACTGGAATCCAAGGAGTCGGTGCTGTGATGGGGCTGGGTCTTGGCCCAGCCTGCTAGTTACCAGCAACCCACCCTGGTAGCCTGCCGCATCATTTAGAAATGGGCATGGCCCTCACAGACTTTTCGTCTCCCAAACAATGCTTTGGCCCAGTCACCAATTTGAGGTGATCCCTCAGCACAGGCACTGGGCTCCCGGGCCAGGAATGATGACTGAGGACTAGAACACTCTGACATTTGCCTTGATCCACCTCTCAATGGAGCTGTAGATACAACTTGACTATTTGGAAACCCCCTTGAGCTGCCAGGCCTGGGGGGATTCCAGGTTCTTGGAGGCCTGGAGGTAAAGGTCAGGGGAATGCAGATGTATTCTTCTTTGTTGTCCCCAGCTAACTTTGCATCTGGTGCTTTCTGGGCAAACCAGAGCGGTTTATAATTGTCATTCACACTGTCTCATCAACAGTAGGCATTGAAGAAGTTCCCAGATTCTTAGACTGGGCTGAATCTGATGAGCCGGCACTCAAGTTGAAGAATTGTACTCTACCTGTCTGGGTGGCTTCCAAGGGACCAGAGGTGCTGCCCGGTGTCAAGTAAGATTTACTCCAGGTGGGAATAAGCCCTTCCAATTCTGAGGTCGGGAAAGACAAGGGAGCACCCTAATTAGAACAAGACAGGATTGTTCCCATTCGAGACCCAGTGCCCTCTTCTGCCTCCTTCTGAGGCTGGGGCCTCTGCCAGCACGTCCTCTCTATTTCCATTCTGGTTTGGCAACGGGCCCTAAGACCTCTTTCTCTGAGAGGGGCGATGTGGTCACTGCATTGCTGGCCTATATTGGCTGGTCAGTGTATTACTACAGTTTGACTGAGTCCTCCCTAAAGTGCTGCAGAGCAGCAAAGGCATATACTTCCCAATAAACCCATGCACTAACCGAGGGGGAGCTCTGTGCCCAGGCCCCTGGCTTCGGTTTCCACAGTGTGTGACCTTAGTAGTATCTTACCTACTTCATGGCAATCCGCTAGGGCAAACTGTAAATCTGTGGAAATTACCATTTTGCTTCTTGGAAGTCAAGTTCGAACATCTGTAAGTGCCCAGTTTACCCAGGAGACAGCTTTCTCCATGGAGGCTGCCTGCTGGTGTGAGTGGCTGTCCTGAACAGGACTGTGTTCTCGTCATACTTCAGAGCTTGCATTGTAAAGAGGTGGGATAACATTCCATGCAGCCTCTTCCCTGATGTGCTACCCACCTTCTATCACAGGTCTGGGTACCCGACTCCATTGTTACAGTCCCACCTATAATAGGAGATTAAGCCACTGAATCATTGGTCCTGCTTGTCCTCTTGCTTTCCCTGGTGTGTGTATCACTGGGCCCCACATACTTGGGACAGAGGCCATTTTAAAATGAGCCTGTGCTGAGTGAGGGGCTAGGGAAGATCTGTGAGGAACAGATCCCAAAGTGTGAAGGCCCAGCTCTTTAAACCAACGGAGCCACTCCATTCTGCTGTGAGGCCAGGAGAAACATGTACCAAGTAGAGAGTGGCCAGATCTTGTTGCCAACACTGTTTTTAATGGGACATCAGTCCCCCTGGTTGATTAGGAATAAGCATTTTTTTAAGTTTCAGTGAATCTTTTCCTCAAGTATTTACATATATTTTCTGTATGGTGTGTGTGGGTGTGTGTGTTGTGCGGTTTTTAACTCCAAGCAAGTTTGAGTTTGGGTAAGGAGAAACTAAACTACATATTATGTCTTTGACATCCCAATATTCCTGTCTCTAAAGAATCTTATTAAGTAGGGATTGGAGCTGGACAGTGGACTGGCTAGACACTCGGGTCCCAACCTGGACCCACAGTAAAGAGTGCTGCCGTGGTCTGGAGGAAGGTGCTTCTTTATGACAGGCATGCACCTTCCTCTCAGAGGACAGAAGAGGGGCCCGTGCCTGGCTCCCTGAGTTTTGGCTCCCAGAGGAGTTGATGGAGTTGGGTAATGAGGAAGATTCCACTGCAACCGTCTGAAATGTCTCCTTGCCGTCTTTCTAACATGTTCATCTTTTGATGTTTTGTGTATGTGCGACACTTGCCTTAAAATATAGCACAGCCATCAAAAATGAGTACCGTATTTTTACTGGCACCTGCCTGTCCTTCAGTCTTGTCCTGTTTTTGATGGGGCTGTCACTCTTCCAGGGGATGACCTGGGACAACTGAATACAGTTTTCCTCTCCCTTTTCAGCCAACTGAGCCTCTAGGGTAAGGGGAAGCTTAAGCCTCCCTGATAACTGGTATCACTAGTCCTCTGTGACTGCCTGCTTGCAGCTCGTGACCATCAAGCCATGTGCTGGTTTCACACTGCACATGGTTAGGGCTCTGGCAGAAATGTGTGTTGTGGGAACAACTAGTTTGACAGGAGTTAATTAACATTCATGCTAAGCCAAGCATCAGAGCAAGAACAAGCCCCAGGCCATCTGTTACTGGGCAAGTCCCTGTTAGTAAAGTTGCCCATGCTTGTACTAGGGTCACTGCCACACCCAACTTATTCTCTTACATAAACTTGTCTTCATTTTTTGAAAAAAAAAAAAAAAAGATGTTTTTGTTTTCTGAGATAGGGCATTACAATGTGGCCTAAGTTGGCCTTGAACTGGTGAGAGAGACTCTAACCTAAAGCTTCATAAACACTGGGGTTTCAGGCACCCAGCATCCTTCACCATCCGGTTTTCAGGGATATCACATTCTGCACAGCAAGGAACTCTAGAGGCTCTGGAGAGGGTAACTCTGCAAGCTGACACCGGAAGGTGTGGTTTCCAGACCCTACAGCTCTAGAGTAACAGATGCCTATTCTGACCTGGGTATCGCCAGCTCTCCATATAGCATGGAAACTGGCTTTAATTTCAGCCAGAGAACAAAGGATGAAGAGTTTGCCTAGATCAAAAGCCTGATGGGAGCTGTGACAACGATTTAGACTGCTTCCTGGAGCTTTGGGGTGTTCTGAGGTTTGAGATTACACCTGGTGACTCAGCTTTGCCAGCTAGCCCGAGCAGGAGCAGCTGTCCCAGTGGCTCCAAGCCACCTCTGTCCGGGTGATTGGGCAGAGGTCTCTTAGAACTTACCTGCTCAGAGGAAATTCACCATGCATGGCCTAAACCACGTGGCCAGGAGGAGCATAAACCGCCAGTTCTTGACTCTGTGGTGCCAGGCACAGTTGCCTCAATCCCAATACCTCAGCATCCTCTGCAGTGCCAGACACAGTCCCCTCCCCCCCCTCCCGCCCCACCTCAATGCCTCAGCCTCCTGTGTGGTGCCGGGCACAGTTGCCTCCCAATGCCTCAGCCTCCTCAGACTGAAATGTGGCTCACACCTGCAGCAGTAACAGGCCACTGTGGAGAGCAGGTGAGCTTCATGACTGCTAAATCATCAAGAAAGCACCTGGCACACAGAATGCACTGGGTACAGGCTGAGTCTCACATCAAACAGTGGCTGGAGATGTTCCTCACCAGCCTGTGACCCTTTGTGGCTGGGCCCACGTTTTGCAAATTGGAGGTGGGGGGCAGTGAAGAAACAAACATCTAGTTACCCAGATGGGGCACCAACAACAGACCAAGAAATGATCCCACTCAAGTCTAACTTGGGCAACAATAGGTTTAGTTAGGGTTACATACAGAACTTATGGACAGCTACACCACCATAAAATATAGAAATACCTCCCTTCCCCACAACTATTAACGGCCTGTGAATCTTGGTTTGGAGCATGGCCTTATAAGCTTTCCCCCTGCCCCTCTGTGATGGGAAATTAATGGGTCCAATCCTGAGCAGGTCCCCTTTAGACTAGCATAGCTGCTGACACAATGGCCATGTTATACCTAGAAGTCTGTGCTCCACAGCACTCCACCCCTTTGTCCAGTTTACATCCCCACCACTCCCTCTTCCCTGATGCTCCTTGAGCCTCAGAAATGATACAGGTGTCCCATTTAAGGCTGAGCACTCAACAGCCACCTACTTTCAGTACTCTGATGACCTATAAGTCTCTGCATTAACTGCTACCCTTCATAAAAAGAAGCTTCTCCATCTAGAGATGATGGCAACACTAGTCTATGGGCATAAGCAAAACTATTTAGAAGACTATTTGATGGTTATATCCAGTAAGCAAAGCAACAGCAGTAGTTCCCCCATCCAGATGTGACTTCCCTAGTATAGAGTGGGCCTTAAGTCCAATCAGAAAGCAGCTGGCTAATCAGTCTCACAATCCTTATGCGGCTACATGCATAACAACCACATCACTATTGAACCATTTGCCTAGTAAACTGGTAGCATATAGCACACAGGATCCATGGCTGAGCAGGACTTTTGACAATTATCCCCCAGGAGCCTACATAGTGCCTTCAAGCACTATGAAAGTTAGCTAGTAGGGAGGAGGCTTATAGCTCAGTCCCAGCTTGGTTTTCCTGCCTGCACTAAGCTCAGAATGACTCCAGCTGTGAGGTTTACCTCAGTAAGCAGCAACAGCAGTGATAATAGCCGGTATTGTTAGAAGGTTCTGGGACCTCCCTGACAACAACTCCTATGGAGTCAGACTATCCCAGTTTGGGGACTTTCATCTAATAGCCTTAAGGTTTCTAAAGGCATCTTTTTCAATGTGCACAAGGCACTTCCACTCACACTTTTCAACTATAGTTTTAATGTTTGCAGGTACCAGCTGTTAGAGGGTTTTTCTCATTCATCTTGTTGTGTGCTATTCATGCCTTCCCCAACTATAAAGTTCCCAAGAATCTCACAGGTGCCCTGGCCGACTATAAGAGCTGATTCCCCATCCTTGCTCCTTTTGGTTTTGGACGTGCCCTCCGGATGCTTTTCTAATTCTGTAAAAATAAATAAATAGCCACCTCAGAGATTAGCAGCCTATCATCTGTGAAATAAAACAAGTTTGCAAAGCATGTGCAGGGTTATGAAGTCCCACTACCCACTGTGCCAAACAAATGTCACTTGGTCTTAGAAGTGACCAGCTGAGCAGATACTAAAAGAAATGCCTGCAGGGTCCAACACAGCA